GAAATTTATATGATAACGGTTACAAGGGTAATTGATTAACGAGGCAAAGCTACTGCAATTATCTAGACTATAAATAATTGTCAAGTTATATAAATTAAATTTATCAATATTTTAAAATGTAATTCAATCTAAATTTCTTAATCCAACTGTGTATGTCAGATCAAAGTCATTCATTACATAGGGAGAAAAAGATATAATAAAACGTCTTTCCTTTTTTTCTAAAAATGATCGAATTTATTTGTTAAAATTTTAAAAATCCAACTACAGAGATCAAAAGGATAGTGACATTGGTAAGTGACTTACATAACAAATAATAAGTCTGGATGATTTAGAAAATTGTACTCATAAATATCAGGTAACTCTACCTGGAGCACCTATGGGGCTACTGTCATTCTCAAGCCCGGATAAAGAATTAGGGTTGGACATAAGGTTAGCGAACCCATACTATAAAAAACTAACTCGCTAATGAAACGCTAAAGAGAAAAAAATAATTCAAACCATTACAACTCTGCCTTAGGAGTTGGAAGGTCTTCATTTAGAAGGGTTACGACGTCTCATGATGAAAGCAGAGTTCCTTCGGAAGTCACGAGGCTGATGCCCCTTCTGACAACCAGAACAACCGTTAATCTAGATACACGGAATGTTTGTACAATGTGGGAGACCGGAAGAGCCATCCAAGTTGCTGCAAAAATGAAAAGATGCAACGTGGAGGTGCTTGGAATCAGTGAAAGAGATTAGATGCAGGTTGGACAACAAAGACTAGCTTCAGAAGAGCTGCTGAAACAAAAGGTAGAATGGATAGTTGTTAATGGTTCATGTAAATTTACTTTAATTCAGTTCATTTGTGATATAATTTTAGTCATGTAGAACTCATATTAATTTCATATGTTTTTCTAGACACATTTCTTCTTATAAACCCTATTCTATTCCTTTCAACTTAGATTTGTCAACATTACAACGTTACTATGGTGGTGTTGTGGAGACTTTCGGAATTTACGCTTTGCATCATTAACTGACTCTACTGAAGATCATGTACTTATTATTGATAAATTACAAATGCTGATTTCTGGGGTTTTATCGAACAACGAGTGGAATTCAACGAACTCAGATATAATGCAGTTACACAATAAACGACATTGGAATATGTTGAATAAGCTGGCATATTAACCGTGAAGTGAATAAAGTTAGTATGTTAACCGCTGGGTGCCAACTCAGTGGTTTAAAAGTAAAGAACTCCTAACAATGTCTGGAAGGCCTGCGTTAGAACCCCAATGGGACATTAAATACTCGCTGGTGGAGTATCTCATGTTAGGATGAATATGCTATCTAGAATTCCTTGCTTTCAACGTTTTTTTGACTATGATCAGTTCAAGATACAAAATATGAAACACTTTATTGCGTTAAAACACGTAATATAAGCCATTGGCTAAATTGGGAAAACATTTATTTTTGTTTATCATCACTTTACTAGTGACTTAAATAAACATAAAAATATTATTTACAGAGGAATGCTAATTATCGTTCATTAATTTAAATAATTTCTAGAAAATGATATAAAACATTATGAATTGATATGAATAGGTAAGCGTTACATGATATAGATAAAAATGTTTCCTTGGTTTTAGTGAAAACAGATACCTTGTTTTTAAAAATTGGATTCTTGAGTCGATTTAAGCAAGATCATCTTCGAAAACCTGGGAGCACTGGATTCCTAAGTAGTATCCATACACAATCCAACATACAGGACTCGAACCCAGTACCTTCGGTCTCGTGCACAAACGCTTAACCCCTAGACTACTGAGCTGTCATCAGACAATGTGAATGTCTAACTTCAATCGATTCATGATCTTACGCAACTCTTCTTTCTAGTCAGTTTTTATCATGACTGAATACGGCAAAAATAACCATATGTAAAAGAAACTAATACACATTATAGGCATAAGTAAAATTCGATCAACTAGAATTCATGTGTCATGCAAATGAATTACATTTTGTTTTTATAACTAATTTGTTAGTTTTAAAATCAACGTATAAAATGGCATTCTGATACATTAAAAGGAATACAATACAGTGTGTGTGTGTATTGTGTTAAAGAAATTTCACGGGACTAATTTCTCAAACACATAACTTTATATAAATGTATATAGACAAGAGGGAAGAAGTTTTAAATATATTGTTAATCATTTTATTAAATATTGTAATAAATAAGTGTAAAATGAGAAACATAATATGGATACATACTCAAAATATCTATTCATTAATTTAATTCCAATGGCTAATCACATGACTACTGAGCAAGTTCTGAAGATGTTTGTTATTTGCATCAAGATAATGTTTGTTATATTGAAAAATATATATCTTTTATACACCAAAAAAATGAGTTTGATTGTTTCATTTTGACAGTATATGGGTTGTGGAGATTTTTAAGTTTTGATTGAGATCATGAATCAATTGATGTTAGACCACCATTGAAAACCTGGAAGCACTGGACGACCGTTTTGTCTCATTGTGGAACTCCTCAGCAGTGTACATCCACGATTCCGCTTTCTGGATTCGAACCCAATGCCTTCAGTCTCGTGCGCGAACGCCCAACCTACTGGACCACTGAGTCAGCATCCAACAGTGTTAATGTCTAACATCAACCAATCAGTGAGTTTCATTTTGATTGTTATTATTATTTTGATTTCTTTTTTAAATGCGGACTAGAAACTACTTTTAGTTATGATTAGTATTTATCAATATTGTAATTTAGGATTTCTCTAGTTTCTCAAACAAAAAACCATTTGTATTTTGAGGTGAAAACTCATGTAATTCTTAATGTATATTTTTGTCTTATAGTTTGTTTGGCGATCACATTTTTTTGTAAAGACTCAAGAATATTACTCTAGGCTGAAAAGTGATAAATACAAATACATTTCTACAGTCTAGTTATATAAATGATAATCACAAAGAGATAAATTAACTTCTTTGTCATCTGAATAGTGATCATAATCTATGTGTTTAGGGATCGGTGTTACTATCTATCTATCTATCTATCTATCTATCTATCTATCTATCTATCTATCTATCTATCTATCTATCTATCTATCTATCTATCTATCTATCTATCTATCTATCTATCTATCTATCTATCTATCTATCTATCTATCTATCTATCTATCTATCTATCTATCTATCTATCTATCTATCTATCTATCTATCTATCTATCTATCTATCTATCTATCTATCTACCTATTTATCTATCTATCTATCTATCTATCTATTTATCTACCTATTTATCTATCTATCTATTTATCTATCTATCTATCTATATGAAGAAGGAGTTGTAGAAATTGTAGAAAATTGAGTGAAATTTAGGATTTCATTAGGTAGTTTTTAATGTCACCGATTTCCTTTTTTAATATTTTTTAAATACTTTTCAAACCTTGTAAAATAAGTCAGTTTGTTTCATTACATATTATACAGCTAAAGAAGCGAATTGTGGTTATTAACTTTCATAGTTGAATTCGCAAGTCAATCTAAACTAGAATGTTAATTAAAACCTAGAAACAATAGATGGCTGTTTCGTCTTAGTATGGGACTTTTCAGCTTAGTGAATTCATGATCCCACACGCGTGACTCGAATCCAGTAGCTTCGGTCTCGCGAGCTAATGCTCAACCCTTTAGACCACTAGGCTGGAACCCAACTGTGTCAATGTCTATCTTCAATTAATCCATGATTTTGCAAAATGCTTCATAAATGTTCTGAGATGGATAACTGTCTTACACCCGATAAGAACTGGAATCCACTGGTCGCTGCTTCTCACTAGGACTCTAGATGTTACATCTTAAAGCAATTCACTAGTGAGTATATGATTATTACTAGTATAATAATTTGTGAAGATTGTAGCATTTGAATGTACATTTTTCTTATCAAGGAATACTAGTATTACCAATTACAAAGTCACCTTAATCGATAAAATATGTATTGAACTGTTGGATACGTACTACTGAGGATTCCTACACTAGGACGAAACAGCAGTCTAATGTTTTCAGGCTTACAGGGATGGTCTAGCTTAGATTAAATCATTATTTTAACAGAAAAAATACCACAATCTTCACAAATTCCCATATTGATATGATTAAAATATATATTTGAAAACATTTCACTTCTACTGAATGAACTGTAAGCAAGTATATTCTAAGCAAGGAATTATTGATTTTTAGTTATACATGTAATGAGATTGTTCTATTGATTTTTGTTAAAAAGTATCATTATTTATTTTTAGCTAAATTAAGAATTAGTTAGATAATTAAATTATTCTAAATGGTTTCTATAAGTTCCCACTTACAATGTGTATAAGTAAATGGAATTGATTATTTTTTTGAGTGGGTTGGAGAATGCTGGTCTATGGCCTATACTCCATTGGGAGTAACATGCGTAACTAAGTAAGTAAATAAATCATTTGGTAAAAATCGATATCCAGTTTTCAATCGTCTACTGTTTATAATATTCACTTAAGTGATTTAATATTGAATTCATTAATTTTAAGATTCAGTAATTGTCAAAATACAAAAACCTGGATGCATTAGACGACCGTTTCGTCCTATCGTGAGACTCCTCAGCAGTGCTCATCCACGAACTCGCCCCCCGCGAGATTCAAACCCAGGACCTATCAATGCATGTGCACTACTGAGGAGTCCCACAATACAACGAAACTACCGTCCAGTGCTTCCAGGTTCTCCATGACTCATGATCTCAACCATTAAAATTACTATAATATCCACAAAACTGTGTTAATTAGTTCATTTTTATCTGTGAAAAATAACAAATACTTCACTTGAAATACGTTAAAAACAGATTATCAAATCTATTGGAATGTAATGATTATTTAAATTCAAGATACCCCCATAAAGATTATAATCAATGAATCACCATAGTGAATTGATTTGATTAAACCAATAAAATATATATATACAATAATTAAATAACTACTATTTTTTTTAAAAAATTACTTACGTATCTGTTATTTTACAACATATTTGTTTCCCTAATGGTCCACAACAATATTTCATATCTTCTGATTGATTAGGTTGTGGACAATAGAATTTTCCAGAATTTAATAAAATAATTTTTTTATTAGTAATATTACTTTTATTATTAATATTTTGATTGTCAAATTTATTTAAATATAACCATTTCTGTTTTGATTCATTGATACACCATATTACTCTTCCAATTACTGGTGTAAGATTATCTTTCCATAAATCATTAAATCCATTTGTTATAAATTTATTATATAAATTATAATGAGTAGTATTATTAAATTTTGTTAAAGATAATGATTGATTTATATATAATTGATTTTTTTGTATTGGTATACATTTTACAAATATTATATATAATTCAATAAATAATAAAATATAAATCAATTTTTTAAAATATATAATGAACATTTTAATTAAATTCATTATTATATAATATTTCATTATAATTATAATGATTTATTGATTTATTATATACATATTGATATTATATAATTATGATTAGTATTTATGAATAATTATTATTTAATTAATAAATAGTTTAATAAATATTTACATGTTTTATTCTATGCATTTTATATTTCATGAAATGTTTCATTTAACTAATAGAACTTATGAGTAGTTATTGTGTTTCCTTTTTATTTTCTTATTATTATATTTCATCGTTTAATTTGTTGCATTTTGATTGGTTGATTTTTAATTTAACAAAAAAAAAATAAACAAACAAATAAATAATAATCCTTAATTTTATACAAACTTATTTTTGATTGGTTAATTTTTTCTTTATTTCTTCTTTTTCTTTTCATTACATGATTTTTGTCATTGTTATTATTTGAGATACAGTTCCAGTCTTTTTTTAAGACAAGTTTATATTCAAGTTGTGCAAGAGAAGAAATATATATCTGAAAAAATTGTTAAAGTATTAGTTCTGTGAGCATATATGAACAGGAAATAAACTTGATGATGTAACAGAAAGATTATAATACTAGATTATGTAATGTGAATGACAATAATAAACGTTTGTGTATGTATTTGTGTGGGCTAACAGAAAGCCTTGTAAAATCAGCGAGTTATTAGCAAATGATAATGTGGACGAAGTAAGATGATTAAAATGTTTTTATTACGATGATCGAAGGTAATTGAGGCGCTAAATCATTGGGATATGAGAAGTAATTGAGGAGAGAGGGAGATATTTTAGGGTACAAAATATGATAATAATATTTTAAAACCAAGATAACGGTAAGGATAAGATGCAACATTTTTTGTACACACAGCTCTGGCTTTAATTTATATATGGGAAAAGAATATGCTGTTTTAAGGAGTTGGGTACGAGGAAATAAAAGTAGATATAGACGAATTGCATAAACAACCTCAAAATCAATCTGTGGATTAGTAGACCGATTAGAATCGATTAGATGTTCAAGAATGTCACTTCTAACTGCTTTCTTCTCAGCCCTGTAAAACCACACTATGACATGTTTTCGTATTTGAGTTGAAATCAACAGCTGGCTACGGTCTATGTACCTTACTCCACAAGTTTCTACTAGTGAACGTTAATCATAGCTTTGCCAGACAAGACGCTCTTCTTATCGCTAATCTTAACTGCATTCTAATTACATCAGAAGTCCAATCAACTTTAAATTCCAGATTCATATAAAGATATTTCTTTGAAACGGAATTACCGGATTCTTTATTCCGAAAACTTTTTGATGTTCTTCCCTATGATGCGGATGTGTTTAGTGAAAGTCATCTATAGAAGTTGGTCAACTTGACGTTCCATGTTTGTTTTCTGTAAATGAACCTTTTTAAGTATTATAGTTATTTTCCTTTCCAGTTGCAATAATCAACTCATAGGATAAATACATCAATCTCTGATTTTAATTATTTAACGTTTAGTGTGAAAAAATAATCCATATTCCCTTTTTATAAACATAAACCTTATTTATATTGACTTATCTCGTCAATTTTCTCTCAAGAGTTTGTAAGTGGGTTTGAAGTAGGACTGTTCAGTTTGTTTTTTATTTACATTTTACAAAACTGTATGTCAATATAATTTTTAGATTGTATCATGATTTTCATTTCACCATTATTTAAATGCATAAAATATAGTATTCGTTAGTGTAAATGATTCACATTAACTACTTCACTTCACAGAAACAGGTGAGAAGATTCTCATAATCTTGAATCAATGTGTCTGTTATTTTTGTTGGCATTAATCTGTTGAAGATTTCATTAAAGGTGGAAATGTGGTATAGAAGATTTATTTATGTACATGTATGTATAATGATGTATTGAAAATACTTGTATAGATGATTTAAACAAAGATTTGTTTTAGTTCCTAATCGGGAAACAAATCTTAGTCATTACCACTTGCAATTCTGCCACTTGTATATTACTTTTCGGAACATAGAATGTGAATGGTTCAGATTCGTTTTAAAAGACTAGACTGACAGGAATAGGAGGCTAGAAATTTATATAAGTAATAATATCGATTATGTTGCATAATTTACTTAAAAACGTATATTCATATCCATTCAATATCTTTTCGCAGATCATCTGACAGGATAAAACATCATTTTACAAGTCGATCAGAATTTAGATAGAAGCTATCAAAAACTTCATAATAATAGTTATAAAATATGTAGAAATTATTGATGAAGACGGCTCTGTGATATTGTTAGACTAGTACGTATATGTCACTAGATATGACACTATAGTTATGTGGAGATCCAGCCAATAATTTTCACTTTATTTAAAGTTAAGATTAATTGTTAAAACAGAGTAATACAATGGTTTTTTTCTGTAACAAACTTGAATATTACATAATAATATGCATTATGAATATTGTACAATGTTTATATGATACTTTAAATGAATTATGCAAGTAATCTATTTATATTTACATAGAAACAAGTTTAAGCGTCATTTTAACCGTCTCTTCTCTATTCAGACCATTCAGTGAAACTATAAGTGATAATATTAAGAAGCTGGGTATGTAATCTTTATCGCTAAATAGATTATGAATTTTCAAGTTTGATCAATAGTGTACACATTGAAAGTGATGTAAAAATAAATTATATTGACATGGCACTATTGATTTGACAGGAAATGTGTGTAGTTTTAAGTGATTTGCAATCTGACTTCTAAATGATCCAATGATACTGACGTAAGTGAAATATATATATATATATATATATATATATATATATATATATCCCGTGTGCTTTCTAGATATTCCATCGACGTATTCCGTTAATAACAACGTGAGCATAAAACGTTAGTTTATAAAATTTATACACTACTTAATAATCTGATTATCTTACTGTTTGTTCTCAATTAATTACATAATTATCAAAATTTATCTATTTCACTGACGATAATATAAGCCTCACTTTGTGAACTAAACATATAAGATAAAACGAATACGGCAATAAGAACTCTAAATTGGTACTCAAATCACATTTATTGACCTAAAAATTGATTTTCTGTTGTGCTTTTAAAACTACGTTTCTGGTTGATAGAGTAGGCGAATCAAATAGACTTAGGGAAGGGTTAAATCAAATAAATGTGGAACAAGTTCACTAATTACGATTCGAAAGGCTAAACAAAACAGGCTATACTTTACAAACTAACATTGTGAACAATATTTGTGTTCTTGATTGCATAAGAGAGAAAGTTGGCTAAAAATAAATTAAGTGAGGCATATTAGTAAACTGTAGAGAAGTGTTATGATATAATAACAAAACTCAATTAAAAAAAACTCTATTCAGAATATTAAATTAATTCAAGTAAAATGATTTTATAAAATTAAAAAAAATAACAAGCCAAGCGACAAGTAATTAAGTTAAAAATGATTATCATTGTGTTTACAGTGGGATGTTTCAATGTAGTGCGAATTGTATATTTCGATGTAGTACACAATCTTACATATACTTGGAAGTAGCCGACAAGAAACTCTGGATCTAAGATGCTCTCTATTCGGCACTGGTCAACAATACATATAATACGCTCTTTTAATCAGTGTTTATTGAGTTGATATCTAGTTTACTGATTGATTAATAACTTTTTTATTTTACCGATTTTTCTCAACTTTTTATTCTACATTCTCTCTAATTAGTTAAATCAATAACAGTATTCTATCATCTAACCACTACGCTTCGATTACTTTAATTCAATTTAAATAAAGAACGAAATGATAGAAGAATTATCTAAATACGTGAAATGCCATAATCAGAAGGGGTTTTATGGAGATTTTAGTAATTTCAATAGTTGAAATCATGAGCTAAATGAAGCTAGACCACCACGGAAAACCTGGATGCACTGACGACCGTTTCGTCCTATTTTAGGAGTCCTCAACAGCCGAACCCATGATCCCGCTCTCCGCGAAATTCGAACCCAGGACCTATTAGTCTAGTGCGAGCGCCTAACCATTAGACCACTGAGTCGGCATCCAACGGTGTTAATATCCAACTTTAACCATAACTTAAATGATTATTTTTATATATGGAACTTAAAATAACAAGTCAATCAGCTGCAATGTAATTGAATCCGTATTATCGTACAAACCTTCCAAACATAATTAATTGATACCTTTACATTGAAATTTCATTCTTTTACTATTTTTTGGTATTACTTAATGAAAATGGTTGGCAAGTTTGTAAATTAGTTCATAAAATCTCGTTCATTTATAATTTATAAGATTAATGGGTTAGTTGCAGTTATATCAATAAAGGCTATTGGTTAACTGATTACCACCTTACTTCCCCTTAAAAAGTAATTTAAACAAATATAAACTATTAAAATGTTTAAATAAATGATAACATAAACAAAAAAAAGTTTACTGATACCGTCATGTTATGTGCTGAGAGGTAAAACATTGACGGTTTACAAATTATGTTTAATAAATTCTACGGATTTACATAATTCATTTTGAGAAAAAAGCGTGAATTCAAAGGTTTCATTTCTGTATTCTTATCTTACATGATATAGTAGTTATTTCTTTGGGGGGGGGGCACAAATAGGACGAAACGGCCGTTCAATGCTTCCAGGTTTTCAATGGTAGTTTAATGTCAATCAGTTCATGATCTCAATCCAAAACTTGACAATCTCCACAACACCTAAATTGATAATTACAATGTGCTCACTGGTGACTAGCTTCGTGAGAAAATTCTCGGAGTTCTGGTGTGAAGTCGTGACCAGTGGAGCTAATCCGTGTCGGGTAGAAACAGATGTCTACCTCAGTACAATGGAAGATGGTCGCGCAACTTCGTGGATTGGTTGAGGTTAGACATTAACACCGTTGGATGCCGGCTCAGTGGTCGATTAGGTTGGGCGTTTGCGCGGAAGACTGAAGGCCCTGAGTTCGAATCCCGCGAGCGGGATCGTGGATGCGCACTGCTGAGGAGTCCCAC